AGAGTTTTGAACCTCACACGGCCTGAAACCACAGACACCCCACTCTCCCACAAACACGCATCCCGTACGAGTTTTCAACACAGTGCCGCATCTGCCACGGCGTGGAATTGAACAACCGCCTTGTAGTTTCGCAGACCCTTCATCCCAGACAAGGAGAGAAAAGAAAAGAGAGGACACCGACCTTGAACCAGGACAATGCTACGGTGCAGGTACGTTCACCCTGGCCCACGACGTGAGTGGAGCGCACGATTTGACTGTCTTCCCGCTTTTGTGAAATCTTCCCGCTTTATGCGGATGGTCGTTGTCAGGAGGCAGCCACCATCCCATTTTGGGTGCCTCGTCATCATTACCCCCGACGAAATAGAAACATTTTTTCGAGAAAACAAACTACCCAAAAATACTGAAAAAGGCTTTTCCATTTTAGTTTCCATTTGTGTTCCATTATTTTAATGCTTTTCCGTCTGTCACACCGTTGAGCTCTCTGAACTCAACGGTGTAAGTGGGACGAGGCCCCGGTTTATTTCTGGTTCTCACATCTGCGTGGTAGCTTGCGCGGCTTTTTTTAATGCGCTCAACGAAATAAACGGGATGCATGGAGGTAATCACAAGTAAAGACATGCTAAGTAGACCTACAGTCTTCACCCCAATACACCGTCCTGTCATTATACCTGAATTTAGACTGAAAGATACACCAAATTCGGCGGGATAATTAATAGAAAGAGCCCACGCCAAAACCTTTCTAGTGTCCTTCGGGACATCCGTTACAATCGGAACGATACAGAGAAGATTAGCATGGCCCCTGCGCAAGGATGACACGCATAAATCGAGAAATGGTCCAAAATTTTTTTCATAGCAGCGAATGGCCGTTGCAATGCTCGTCGTCTGGAAATCTGACATGGGGGTGCTCTTGTTTTGCATCGGAAAAAAAAAAAAAAAAAAAAAAAAAAAAAACCCTTTCTAGTCTTGGGCGCCCGAAACTCGGCCGTTTGGTACTACCGGCACAAACCGTCTTCAGCCTGGGTGAAAGGCGCCTTCCATTCGTGGCCACATCTGTCTGGGCCGGTTCTTACCGGTTCAACTCTTTCTCTGACAGATGCATGAACCCGTAGGGCCCTTCTTTTCAAAATCCTGTAAGTGGGCCTCATTTGGAGCGACGCGTCGGCCTGTAGTACCCCACATGGAAGTCATTGGGCCTGTAGCACCAAACGGCCAAATTTCGGGTGCCCAAAACCGAAAAGGTTTTGGCGTGGGCCCATTCTACCGATTTTCCCAAATTCAGCTATAAAGACCGTAAGCTTGTATTCGGGGGAAGACTGTAGCCTGCGCTTTCACCCCCAGCCGTTCACTCTCAGACTGCACATTTTCAGTGCTCTGCTGGTTGCCGAGTCTGGGCCGTGCGTTCCAGCTGCAGCCCATTATTCCCCCTCTGGCAACGCAAAGGCCGCCCACATCATTTCGCCTTTCACAAACTGCCTGTCATTCTGCACAAAGGGCACGTCACTCTACACATTGTCAAATGCCTGTCATTCTGCAAGACACCTTTATGACCGTGGGGTTCGGTTTTCTAGCTGGCCTACCCCACACCATGTAAGAAACAAAAAACTATCCAAATGATAGCACACAAGTTAATTCCAAAAGGCTTCCACCAATTTAGCACCGTTGCCCTGTTCCCTCCATGCAAGTGGGACATGGCCCCGAACATTTTTCTGACCCTGAGATCAAGAGGGAATCAATGGCCCGATCAGCTGTCACACAGTGTCACACAGTGTAACACAGTGTCACATAGTGTCGCACAGTGTCAGACAGTGCAGAGCATCCTTA